GCAAAAGACACAAAAGTTGTATACCAGGCTAAGCCAGAATGAACACTAGAAGTGGTCCTTATGTTTAGAAAATATATGTATAGAGGCACCATAACTTTGCTACTAAGGCTTGTTTCTTTGTTGAGATTCGCGCAAAGCTATACGGGGAATATCTGCACTAGCCGTCGCTAATTTAGAAGCGATAGACTAGAGAGAAAGCAGCTAGTCAACACCATCCACTTTCACATTATAACGCCCCCACATCTGAAAGGGCGAGCATATTCGATGTGGGATTCGAACACGCGACTTGCATATTGCGTTTCTAGCGTCCTAACCACCAGTCAATGCCAAGCCTTCTACTAAGGAAGGGTTGTTTCAGAAATTGTGGACAAAGCTACATAAAGAGCCATCTACGCATAATCACCCATAATTGTGATAGACAAGAGGGGAGGAAGTTTTTCAACAGTACCCACCACCCACTCTTGGGCTTATCTTGTCTTACCAGGGAGTAGGATTTAATCGTCTTTCTTATGGCGCACCCGTGGCCCCAAAGTGCGAAGCGTGTTTTTGTGGCAGTGGGCTGAAAACCATGATCTTTTGGATTCAAAGTCTGAGTGGACTAACCACCATATCAGTCCGCTCCCGGCATCTCTTATAATGTAACCCATATCTTATTATCGAGGTTGAAAAAGTGAAAAGGACATGGCTTCCTGTGCCCACTGTTACTTTTAACGATGTGCTTTAAATAATGTTCTGTTTTATTTTGCTTTTTTTTTTAATAACCAATCTTCTACAATTACTTTTAAACGATCCAACAGTCTTAAAATTTGTGATAAAGATTACGCAGACTTAGTTTGTCCATTTCGAATTCCAAATCAGTGGTGTGTAAAGCAGCGGTTCAGGTCTACTTTTTATCTTTCACGAATCATTGCCTAAGAGGCCTTTCGTTCAATACTAGTATTCGTCATTTGGGCTGGACGATGAGAGACGGTTTCGGTTTTAATAGAAATGTGGGAAAACATCTGCACTTCACGTGATTTTTATCATAAGTTTTAAGCCTACTGATTTCTACTATTTTAAAAACTCAGTGTTAGTGAGGCTTAAGCACTGAGAACAAATCTGATATACAGTGTATTCCTAACAATGCTTTTGTCGTACTTCCTCAAATATCTTTAAAACCCAAATGCATCCTATTTTTCTCATTTGATGTAATTGTTTTGTTATTGTTTATATCTTCTTGCTTTACGTACCCTGTACTGAGTTGAAGCTTAGTTTGACAGCAGAGAGTTACAAATGAAACTGGCCAATTTTAGATTGAAACGTCGAAAAATATGTTACATCTTTTTCTGATGTTTCATTGTTTTCTGCACTGTTGAACGGGCAAATTTACTTTGTATTTCATACTGCTTAATACTAGAAATATAATGATCTCTGCGGCTAACGGAAACTATATATTATAAACTAGCAGACCCGCAAAACACCTGCAGTCAAGTTAGTGAATTTATTGCAACAGTACTTATTTAAATACATAATTTCTAGATTAAATACAAAATAATTCTAATTACAGACACCGAAATCTATAAGAGTCCACTTGTCTTAGGCCTAACATTAGTTAAGCCTTTATTAAGTACGTCTTATATTCGAAAAAGAGATAAAATAACACTAACTTGTATACGTTTTTTGCTTTAGTTTAGT